GCTTCCTTGGCTTGTGGCCGCTTCACCCCAATCTCTGCTCCATCTCCATGGCCTTCTCCTCCATGTCTGTCGTACGAGGACACTTGTCATTGGACTGGGAGCCCACCCAGACAATCCACGATGATCTCCTCACCTCAAGATTCTTCAGTTACCTCTGCCAAGATCCTTTTTCCCAAATAAACATTCACACGTTCTGTGGTGAGGATGTGTGCACATCTTTTGAGGGGCTACCATTCGAGCCACCTGCCAGATGGCCGGCCGGGCCCATGGGCAAGCTGTCACCAAGTTCTCAGTTCGACTAGACAAGAACGTGAATGGGGGCGAAGGAAGAACCCGCAGGCAGGTGCAGCCAGGGGCTCAGATAAGCTCGTGGACTCTAAGGTCCGACTGTTTTTGGCTACTTACTGGCCCGGAGAGCTTGGGAAGTCATCTAAACTGGTCAGCTTACCCATCTGTTAAGCAGAAATCATGCCAGTTATCTGCCTCATGGGGCTCTAACATTGCCGACTCTTAAAAGATACTTTTCCTAAAAGACTCACAAAGACATCTGGCATCTAATAAACACTGTAGGGCTTTTCAATCCATCTTTAAAATAAACTAAGCAATGGACAACAGAATCACACAAAATTGTCCTCAAAGACACACTAAAATGTTCTGTGCGTTCTATCTTTACCTGTCATGAAACCTCCTAGAGAAGGAAAGAAACCAACATAAACGGAGTCAGGTAGGAAACACTGCTCATATTTGGAGACAGAGGAGGCTGCAGCGACCTCTGAACTGTCTTTGTCCGCCTTCTAACAAAAAATAAATAAGTAAGAATCCTGAAGTGCAGTGAACTATTTGTCCTGGTTTGTGTTTCCTGAGTCCACGTAATGATACTTGACACAGTGACTCTTACATTAACACCGCTGCTTCATCTTTAACAGCCGGATTTCAGAAAAAGCAATGAGTTAGGTTATTCAGGAGGGCGACTCCTTTGTTTGCCCGGTATTTTCTGGATGAGAGCAGGCAAAGGAAAACTCCCGGAAGACTGGTTCCAGATTTTCCACCAGGGTAACACTCCACAGAAAACATCTGACTTTGATCTCGATTTCACCTTGAACTGGGTTTACAACAATGTGGGGTGTGTCGATTTCTTTAAAGAAATCTATCTGGGGGCTTTTGCTTTTCTATCCTATGGAGAGGCACAAACTCCTCTTTCCCAGGTGTACCCCCAAGCTCTTCTCCAATGTTTAGGTGAGAATGAACTCTGTATTGTGGTTTCTGACCACAGAAAAAGTTGCAGCTTATTTTCGCTGAGGTTTGGCTCCCACCGACCAGACAGAAACCATTCAAGGAGCAACCTTGTCTCAAGCTCTCTTGACCCCACCTGGTCTCCATGCAAACCGCCTGCCAGCTACCTTCCATTTGCATTGCTGCCCTGTTATCTGTTCCAAACACTTTCAAATCTGCTTATTTTTCTAATCTCTTCTCTCCTCCTTGGGTAACACTACTCTTTATCTTGTGGTTTTCATCTTTATTACTCACATTTCCTCACAATGAGCATTCATTAAAATATTTTAAATTAGGACCTTTACTGCCTTTCTCACTGAGCGCGTTGGGTCTTCCCATATGACACATTTTTAATTCTTATCACAGAATTTCAGGCAGTTTGTACATTATATTCTATTAAAAACTCTATTCCACCCAAGGTTGTCACAACTCAGAGGCACAGCTTTCGGGGGGTGTTTTGTTGGGGATATATTCATATATTCACTTTGTTAGCCGGCAAACATGGTCCATGAGCTTGTATTTCACACCTCATTTGACATCACAATTCAAGAGAAAAGTACAAAGAAAAGCATTATTTATTTAGATTATGGAATGAATTCTAGAGGGATATTAGATAAGTATAAATTGTCATACCAAAGCATCAATCCCTGTCCTTCGTCCAGCCCCGGGGAGGTCAAACACTGACGTGAAGGACGAGGAGGAAGATGCTAGACCGGAGAGCGTCTCATAATTATGTAACTCTGCTTATGTAACGGCTTGTCTTCTGCAATTTTTTTCTCTCTCCTAAAGAGAATGCAAAATTGATTCTCACAGAGCCAAAAGTGATCACCACAGCCTATGTTTTTTCTTCAGTGTAAAACAGCACCACTTGATCAAATATTTCAAGAAGTCAATTTCCTACCCATAGACCATGGATTCCGCCCTCCCACAGACCCTTCTAACTCAGGACAGTTTGACAGGTGTGCAACTGTTCGACTGGACAATGGTGTAAAAGCGATTAACACATTCAGTAGAAACCGTACTTGGAATTTTGAATCTGGATCTTGTCGCCCGGGCTCACGATCGGGGTCCCATTCTGTCCGTGATGCTGGGCAGCGGCCGCCGCTCCCCGTCAGCCACGCGATCACGTGGGTCACAGACGCCACCTGCATCGTCTGTCACTGTCAGTGCCGTAGTCGGGTGATTTTGTCCAGCGGGAGGCTCACGTCGGTGCTCTGAGCGCGTTGAAGGTGGGCTGGGCTACGCTGTGGTGGCCGCTAGGTGAGGTGTGTGAAACGCATCTTTGATTCGTGATATTTTCAACTTATGATGGGTATATCTGGAGGTAACCCTGTTATGAGTCAAGGAGGATCCACACCCAAGATGTATACCCAAGTGGTGATTTCAGAGGGTGTACGTCGAGGCATCCCACTCAGGCCCCTCCAGCACAGCAGGACTGTGCTAACCGCAAGGCCCCCTCTTGTTTCTGCCCCCACCCCCAGCATCCATCCCCCAGAACATCTCCCATCCTCTAAGCCATGTCGTTCAGGTGGGCTGGCCACAGTGACTGGTTCTGGTGGGCCCATGATCCAAGCTGGGCCAAACAGAGCCAGTGGACCCGACGGGGAAGAGTGACGTCCTCCCTGAAGTGACCACACCAGCAGGATGGACACTGGGAGCTGCTGGTGGCCAACCTGCCACCAGGAGGGAAGATCCTGCTAGAGATGCTGCCAAGCCAGAGGAAAGACAGGGGACAGGTCGCTAAGGATGCTGCTTTGGGCCCCTGCATCCAGACGTCCCTGGTAGCGGCCCCCCTGTGCGTCTCCATCCGCATGAGGAACCCAACAGCCCTTCACGTTTGGGCTTCATCAGTGCGGCACCCAACAACAAAGCCCAGCTGCCCAACACCCCCAGCAACCCAGAGGGAGCCTGGGCCCAAGCGCAAAACAGAGAGGAAGCCACAACCCTTGGCGGGCACCAGATTTGAAGAGTGTGGCCAGTTGCGCTATAGCTAACCAGCATCCTCCCACCCTTCTTCCTTTATAACAAAGACCACCCCCCAGGGCACCTCTCCAAAATAGGGCCAGGTGTTCGCTTTCCCAGACTGCTTCCTGGGCAAAGGCAGGGGCCCACCACTTCCCCCTGAGATCTGAAGAGACGACTTCCAGGTCTTCTTCCCTGATAAAAAAGAGATACACAGGAGAAGCGGCTCCCTGCCCATGTTCATGAACAACCGGGTGAGCTGGTGATGCCTGGAACTGCTGCAGCCACCTTGTGACCACGAGCAAACTAGAGGGAGGGCGACAGCCAGTGAGCCGGGCACAACAGAGCGGAAGACACGACACACCTGGGTGACACCATCTGTGCTGCCGGATTACCAGCCGCCAACCACCCGCCCCTAAGTTTCTCGCCAGGTGAGATGGTAAAACCGTGTTGTGGCGGCCACGTCCGTGGGTATCCTAGTACTTGCGAATGAAAGCACCTGAGCCAATATAAGAATCCCAGGCTCTCCCCGTATACTGATAGCTCAGGGTGTGGGAACGCTCAGCGGGTGGACAGATTTCCAGGGAAACCAGGGGCCACGCGAGGTTGCAGATGAAAAGCTCTTTCGAGGGAGGGAAAGCAGGATAATCCGAATGTTGAGCTTGGAGTAGTCAATATTCCTAACAGGAGGCTCGTAACCACTCACTCCCTTCCCTTCGAAAGAGCTCTTGGAAGCGGGCAGGACACGGTCCTAGCCGAGGTTGGCCGGGGTCACCAAGGCAGGGGGCACTGGACGCAGGACTGCCCTGGAGGAGGCAAGCTCCACGAAACCTCCCTGAGCCTCAGGAGCCCAGCCACCCGCCCACACCCCGGTGCGATCACAGAGGACCCCCTGGGGGCCTAACACCGTGGAGTTTAAATACTAGAGAGAAAAGAGAACGGGGTATGACGATCGCAGAGGTGTGCAAGGGGCTCGCCTGCCAAGCTGAGGCCTTGGAGTCTCATCCTGGCTGAAGTGGGAGCCTTTGTGGTTTTAAGGCGGGGGCTGAGGTGACATGTCTAGTGGCTCATTTTGGCCCAACTCCTTGAGAGAAAAGGCTGTTACCACAGTGGAGACAGCTCCTTCTGCCTTCTTGGGGTCCTGATGCACGGTGACTAGCAATGACCTCCCTCCACAGCCCCGTGAAACCCAAGGCCAGCGTCTGAGCTGGACAGGACGAGTGTGTGCCGGCAACACCAAGCTCACCCGACTTCCCACCCTGACTCCATATGCCAATACCCACGTATGAGATCCGCAAAATGGCTGCATTTAAGCACTAAGACACAATCACTCAGTCGCTCTAGCCACCCTCCGCTTGCTCATAAAAAGGTACGTTTCCCCCTCGCCTCTTAGATCATTTCTGCGGTCCTCATTTCATCCTTCAGTCGTCATGCGAACAATAACAATAATAACAATCAATTCCTAAAGTACGGTTCTCAAACCCTGCGCATGTGTGACTTCAGGTAATTTTTGGAGACTGCTCACCTGATTGGGCCTTAGGTGTATAGAGAGCGTAAAGAATAAAAGCCCCCTCGGGCGGCACAGCCCCATCATGGAGCCATTTGGAAGCCAAAGGGCTGAGCGGTGCTGATGAGCGAGGGGAACACGTTGCCCATCAAAGGCAGAGGCATCACCTCATTTATGCGCACGTTACTTTGCCATCAGCTCTTGCAGCCCCCCCGGCCCCCCCACGGCCGCGGCCGCACCTGGGGACGTCGGCGCTCACCTGCTCTGCGTGTCCGGGTGGTGGCCCACACAGGTGAGGGTGGCCGCTGTCTGCTCGCTGCCACTGTCGATGTCCTCCTGGACCGCCCACTGCTGCTCACTGCTGACGCGCACGGCCGATATTCTCACACCAGCTGCAGCCTTAATTCTGTGGGGCAGGAAAAAGGTGTATAGTTCAAGACAAGTGGTAAAAAATACGGAACCAGAGCACATCTTCCCTCTCCTCTGGGAGACGTAGGGGAGAGAGGCAGTAAATGGTTTTCCTTTGCAAACTAAGCGTCCTGTTATTTTTACAAGCGCCCCAAAGTAGGAGCCCCAGCGTTTTGCCACGCGCGTTAGTCTTCTGTTGCATCAACACGCTGGGAACCAGATCGCTGTCTGCTTCGGGAGCCACGAGTGATGGAAGTGAGGCAGGCGTGTCTGGGCGGGTGTGGACGGAATCCGCTCGCCCAGCTCTTCGCCTGGAGATGGGGAGGGGCCCCCACAAGGTGGAGGGAGCACACACGACCGGGGGGGCTGGGGAAGCCCAGGGGACCGAGGAGGAAGGGGCGGCCCTGACCACATGGGGAGAAGGGAACCACGGGGCATGCCGCTGTCGGGAGAAAAATACACACAGCATCCAGGCAGGATAGTGTAGCCAGGGAATGCCTGGTATGGTGTTGGGAGATCACAGTTCCCCAAGGAAGAACCCAAGGACCCAGGCGCTCCGGCACTGAGAAAAGGCCAACTCACAGCCTGGTTGTTTTCCATGTGTTCCCTGCTCCTCAAATGACCCTCTGCTGCGACTACCCAGAGCACGTGTCCTGCTCTGTAGCAGGATTCCAGAGCATCATTCAAGTTCTTGGATAGCAGCTTTGGGACTTGCCTGAGCTGGGGACATGTCCGGGGAACAATCAGGAGGAAGACAGAGCCATGGAGCACCCTCTGCTCGCCATGCCTTAACCAGGTAGACATAAGAGCGAGAGGATGTGCTTGGACTTCCGAGCCCAGGAACAAACACAGCACAGGGTCGGCAGGTGCTTGGCTGGGAGGAAGCATGATGTCCCTCTGCTTCCCAGAGGCCTGTGGACCCACAAACACTGCCCAGTGAGGCCCTGGGCACCCTTTACCACAGGTACATCAAAAGGAACATGACAGGAACGCCTGGGGGGCTCAGTCGGTGAAGCGTCTGCCTTCAGCTCAGGTCATGATCTTGGGGTCCTGGGATGGAGTCCCGACCCCATGTGGGGTTCCCTTGCTTGGCGGGGAGTCTGCTTCTCCCTCTCGCTCTGCCCCACCCCCCACTTGTGCTCTCTCTCTCTCTCTCCATTTTTCTCTTGCTTGTTCACTCTCTCTCAAATAAATATAAAATCTTAAAAAAAAAAGAAAAGGAACACAATTCAGCCATAAAAAGGAATGAAGCACTGACACCCACTACAATGTAGATGAACCTCGACAACATCAGTCAACATGGGAGAAGCCAGACACAAAAGGCCGTGTATTGTGTGATTCCATTTATGTAGAAGGTCCAGAAGAGGCGAATCTGTAGGGACACAGAGCAGACTGGTGGTTGCCAGGGGCCGGGGGCACTGGGGGAGAAGGGGCAGTAACCGCTAGACTAACCGCTAGACTAACAGGCTTGATCGGGACTAGACCGCACCGCGAATGTGCTAAATGCCACTGAACTGGTCCCTGGGAAATGGCCAACTGTATGTTACCTGAATTTGCCTCAATAAAAAAAAAAGAAAAGAAAAGGGGGTAGAAAGAATAGCCCCTCCCAGGAGAGGTTGAAACTTAAAAAAAATAATAAAAATAAAAAAGCATTTATCAACACACACACAAAAAATCTCCAAGACCCGAAGAAGGGAGCATATAAAGGCAGAATTTCCAGGAACAGGAGGGAGCGGTCTGGACTCAAGCGCTGTCCTAACCGCTGGCTTTGCTGCCTACTGTGAGGAGCCCGGGGGTGGAATCGGGGGCTTCAAATACCTGCAGAAATAGGTAAACAGACAAGAAAGGCTTCTGCTTCCCTTATTCTCCTCGTGCAGGTCCTCGCACCCTGAGAAGTCCCCCGGAGCCGCAGACACCCCTCCCAGCTCTGACCGACTCCCCTCCTGCTCCACCCGCGGACGAAGGCTGCTCCCTCCTGCAAGCACTCTTTCTCACCACCGTGATGTTCCCGGGGTTAGTTTATGCGAACTGTGAACAGAGGCGTCCTGTTCTGTCCGCACTTTCAGCCATTCCATCTTGCTGCCAAAGGGGCAGTGGGAGAGAATGTTCCAGAACTCGCGTCTCCTCTCTGATGGCACTTGCTATTGTAACAGTTATCACGTTCTGTTGCATGCGCACGACTGCTCACGGAGGTCTTTCGTCAGACAGCCCCATGGGCCGCGTTATTACTATTGTCCTCAAAGTCCAGATGAACAGCCCCCAGAGCGAGTGGCCAGCTGGAGGTCACAGAGCCGGGCAATGGCAGAGCCAGGATTAGAAACCTGCTCCCATGCACGTGTATCCCCCGTGAGCCACACGCGCACCACGCAGTGCTGGCAAATGACCCATGGGACCCATGACCTGCACTCCAGCTCCTAACTGAGCCCTAACGGCCCCTCTCTCTCCTTCAGTCCTGGAGCACAACATGTCCACTGAAGATTCTCCTTGGGGTTTTTTGCTTATTTTTTTTGATTCTGATCCAAAAACAAGGCACAGTTCCCTCGTCGTCAGGGACTCGGCATCTCTGAACGGATTCATGCGACTGGATGCCAGGGCCTCCTCACTGCCCTCCTTTATGGTCTTTTTTGTTTTTCGAGACAGAGGCCATTGTAATGGGCAAACTCTCCCTGGGAGTGTTGAGAAGCAGGCCTCCAACCAGGGGCGACCACAAGTACCAACAGCAGGGACAGAGTCTGAGCAGCCCTGGAGGCCAGCCACTGTGCTCACCATTGTCACCGTCCTAGCTGGTCCTAAAGAGATCGCAGGGGAGGCCGGGAGGCAGACTTGGGACGGTGACCTGTAACCAACAGAGGCCACCCAGCAGGGTCACACCAGTGCCTAGGGCTGTGCATGAGGACAGAGGCAGAGAGCAGACCAAGGTGGCCTCCCAAGGTTTCCCTCAGATGGGATTACTGGCCCCAGGGCACCACAGACGCTTTTCTACATGCTACGATGCTCTCGAGAAGGACGTCTGACTTCTCTTCACCTTTTCCTGCTTACCTGGAGCCCAGATGAGAGCCCATCACAGTAGCCGCCCCTTTGCTCCCCTCCCTAGGGCAGCCAGCCTCGGGTAGCCCTCCAGGTCTGGCCATCAGCGGGGGCATCTCTATGTTCTCCCCTGCAGGGTCACCGGCTCTCGATTTCTACTCCACCATCCACACCCGAGCACTGTGCTCGGCATTAGGGCTCCAGACACAATTACTTTTCTCCTCTATCCTCACCCTCCTCCCGAGCCACCCAGGAGGACTTGGACCTCCTGCCTGACCCAGAGCACGCCCTAACGCCTTCCTGCGTTGCTGGTCTCCTTTGGTTCTGGTCGCTCCCCCGAGCCGCAGCAAAGTCAGACCTGAGAGGCTCACCAGGCTGCACCGGTGGTCTGGAGCACAAGAGAGCCAGAAACTTCAGTGCGGTTAATTTCGAGGCCAAGAGGAAGTCTCAAGAAAACAGATACCTACAGAAGGGAGCCTTCCAGGCTTCCTAGGGCCCATCCCTCCCCCAGAAAAAGTAGACTTTCAAGCTGCTAAATACCTTCCAAAACTTCCGTAAAGACAGTCAGCTTTCATGCCCACTGAGGACAGGAACCGTGAGCTCAACAGTCACACACGAACTGTCGCCGTTAGGGCTGGGAGCCACACAGGACAGATGCACGGTCTCGTGGGGTTTGTCTTAGCTTTTATCCTCAGTTATTATTATCGGTAGCAATGCACTCTCGCAAGCCTCCTTCTACAGCACACAAAAACAGACACTCGCCCATCAGAAGGGCTGCCACAGAAAGAGAACATAGCAAGTGTTGACCTATGTTGACTCGTGCGCATTGCTGGAATGTGTGAACGTGGTTCCATTTTTTTGGAATACTATCTGGCAATGTCTCCTAAGCTGAATTTCTGTAGATCTATAGCCCAGCACTTCCACTACTAGGCACATGCCCAAGAGAAATGCATGCATGTGTTCCCCAGAAGAGCACAAGGGAGTTCGTGGCACAGCACCATCCTATGAAGCCCCGAATGGAAACAGCCTAAACTGCTCACTGAGAACAGGAACAGATACCAGTGAATACGTGCAGCAGAAACAAGAATGAGCAGTCTACCACCACCCAAAGCAACATCATGAACATACAGAGATGCTGTCGGGCAAGGGAGGGCACACTGCAAAATCCCATTTACAGAAAGTCAGGCAAACAGATCTCTGAGGTAGAAGTCAGCATTGTGGTTACGCTTTGGGGAACTGGACAGGGCCCCCAGGGGGGCTTCTGGGGCCCTAGCCATGTTCTGTCTCCTTCTGGATGTGACTACGTGGTAGGTTTCAAGAATTCATCAGGCTGTGCTCACTCGTGTGTACTTTTCTGGACATCTGTTCTAGTTCCGTATAAAGTTCACAACAAAGCAAGCAGACCTCATGTCTGTAACAGGGATGCCAAGTTGCAGCCAGGGCAACACCGACCACTGGATGTGACCTCCCCGCTGCTCAAGCTCAGTGGGAGGCCTCAGGATGAGTCAGACCACCACCACCCTGGACACAGAGGGGTTTCTCCCCCCAGCTGCCACCACCCCTTGAGGTCCCCATTTTTGTTCTGAGGAGCAGAGAGTAATCTGAAACTTTGACCTTGTCAATGATGGGGAAGGGTCTTAGAATCCAGAGGAGCACCTCTGCTGGTTGGACCAGGGACCAATGACATTCCAGCGGCTGTGGGTAAGCAATGAGAAAGACATCTAGACTCGAGGCCAGTCTCTACCCAGCAGGGACTAGAGACAGGGCAGAGGCCCACAGCTTCTCCATCTCATTCCCCCTATATCTTTTCAGCCCACCATATCTACCACCTAGCAGGGAACAAGAAAACTTGCTTGATGAGTGCAACCGAGTCTCTGTCTTATACTCAGGCCATCCACTTTAGAATTAAATACTCAACTCTAGGCAGGATTTTTGGCCGTTTGGTTGCTTACACAGTGGATGTGCAGTAAA